TTTCTTCCTAATTAGATTCTGCTGCCTTGTGTAATACCAACTTTCAGTTATCCCCCCTCAGTAAAGCAAAACAGACTTCATTATTCAGGTTTGCAAATCATGCCCGTGGTGTATGTGACAGACATACAGCCCTCGCTTTTCCAGTCGCTCCCAGGGCAATGCTAACAATGTGGTTCTGCCTCGCAATAATTTGCCCTAAAAATGCATGAATTTGGTTAAGTTGGTGCCTCTTCCAGAGTCCTCACAAGAACTTCTTGCCCTCCCCCTCTGAGTAAGACACAAAGTACAGCTCGGAAAGCTCCATGGGGTGTACTTTTAGCAGGCCGGTACCTTTTGGGAAAATGGGCTAGGGTAGTGTATGTCTCAGCACGTGGTCTGCAGCCTGCCTGTGTCAGAAATACCTGGGATCTGTGTGTACCAACGTGACACCTCCCTGACTTCCTCCCTGAGTGTAATGGTTGACACATTGGGTCAGTTTGAGAAGTTCATAAATATCTTCATACTCTGCAAGAGGAAGACATGGAGATGGTGTGAGTGCAACCCCCTCCCCCGGGGTGGAAAGAGAGGCCCGTGCTCCTCCCTTCTGCTCTTGCTGCCCTTGCTGTCTTCTGCTGCCTTCACTTATTGCCCCTGCCATGTGCTACCAGGCCTCGGAGCCAGTGGATTATGGCCTGAAACCTCCACAAATCCTGAGCTAAATGAACCCTTCCTTCCTTAATTGGTGCTGGGTATTTTGTCTCAACAATAAAAGTAACCAAGACACTGAGACATTCAGATCTAGATTCTCATGGGGAAAGATCTAGGAATCTTTAAAAGTCTTCAGGGAATTCCATAGCAAGCCAGCATTCCAAAGCTGCACAGCTGAGGCACAGGTCTTCGCAAAGCCCACAGAATGCAAGGACCACCTGCAATGTGTGCACTGCCGCTCTACCTGGAGGCCTGGCCAGGAACATGGCATCATCCCTGCTCTGAGAATGTTCTCCTGTCCAAAACTACACATTACAGTTTACAAAGGTTGGATCCCATTTGTATACCTGGGCTGCCTGTCAGGTCTGGTTCTTCCCAGTCTAGTACCCCTTCCAGAGCCCAGGGAAACCATGCTAGACAGGGCATGCATGCAGCTGAGGAAAGGGCAAGTGTTGTAGCCCAGAGTTCCCAAGAAAGTGCTTGTGGTGATTCAAACAGACAAGGCAAGACCAGCATGCCACGCAATGCACTGATTCCACAGAGGGTCTGTGGTGCTGCGAAGCTCGCCAAGGCCAGGTGTGGTCCTCCAATGGTGCAGCAGACAGGGTGGCACCTAGGCTACTGAACTGCAGCAGTAGGGTAGAGCTAGGCTGACATCTGATCCAGAAAGTACTTGATTTCTGCAGGGAGCTCAGAGCTCTCCCCAGACACAATGTTATTTATCTTTACCAGGATACTGTAAAAATGCAGACCTCAAACTTCCACTCAAGACTAAGAAAACTGGGCTTCCTAGGGTGGGAGTTCAGCACCCCTGAATGAATTTGTGGAAAGGTCCAGACAGCATCTTTCTCACCACCACCACAAAAAAAAAAAGGTAAATGCAGAGAATGTTTTCCATAGCCAAGAAATTGTGATGGTTGGAAAGTTATCCCCGCTGTCTAAACTGCCTCTTGTCCTCAAGCTACGACAGACAGCTCTCTGAATTTCTGCACCAAGAAGGCAGCCAAGTGTGTCTCTGTTGCAATTGAATCCCCATATCCTCAGAGAGAAGTTGGGACACAGAACAGATCACATTTGGAAGGTCAGCAGAGGCTCTCTGCTTCAGCCCCAGGTTCTTGAATTCGATTTTGCCCTTCATCTTGTGCCAGGAGGCTGTGGTACCTACCAGTGGACACACCTCAGTTCCACACAGTGCCCAGGATTCTGACCCCAAATCTGATATCCTTGACCTTAGCTCAGAGGATAGGGCATGAGAGACTGGATGCTCCCAGCCTCCCAGCCTCCCCACCTTCCCTCCACGCACAAAGCACCTGGGTATGTTGGTAAAAGGTACAGCCATGGGCTGGGTGAAGCCTAAGGTTCCACACACTCCTAGGACATCTCCAGGTTCCAAGATGAAATTTTTAAAAATCTATGGGGATGAAGCAAGGAAGGTCCTGGCTACTTCTGATTAGAATACAACTCTGTCATCTGCTAGAAAGATCATTTCCAAGCCCCCACACTCCTCATGGTCATTTGTCTCTTTCTGGGGATGTGGGGTGAGCTGAGCAGGAAGCTGGGCAGACCTCTGCGCTCACTACAGCCACCCTGTGACCCTGATGCCACAGCCCCGCCCTGGGAGCTGAGGACAGGGAGCTTCATCCTCTCTAACCAAGTCAAAAGTAATTTTCTCTGGCCTCTTCACACAGAAGGAACAGGGTGCGCAGCCTGCCAAAGGGGCGGGAGCAGAGGCCATGCCGCCCACGGCAACACTGGCTGACTTTCCAAGTCATGCAGCACTTGGTCCAACCTGTGCTGGGTAGACGTGATTGTCAGTCCTTCAGGGATGACAGGGACTCTGTGTTCTACCTCACCTGGTTCAGCCCGATGAAATATTGGCTCTGCATCTGATCGAGCCCCTGCTGCCCAGCTCCAGCCTGACACAGCTGCCTGACTTGGAATCTCCTCCTCACTGTCCTGGGCAGGTGCACATCTTCCCACGGAGCTGAAATGTCCTTTGTTACTAGACAGGGACCCTGTGGCACAGCCTGGCAAACATGGCAGCTTCCCAGGTCCTAAAACTGCCCTGCATCAGGCCAGTGCCAGCACCTTGTCCGATTTTCTTTCCCAAGTTGGGGCACACTCCTCCAAAACAAGCTTGACCTCCTAGCTCAGTTCTGAAAGATGTCTCATTCTGCATCCTCTCCAAAGAATTCTTCTAAATATTCAGTGGCTACATCTATGGCCAAACCACCCCGAACACGCCTAATCTCATCTAAGTATTCAGTGGCTAATATGGATTCTGTATTCCAAGGGGGATTTAGTTTCTTGAGTTCTCTTTTTAAAACCAAATAAAAGAGAAGCTAATAAAAAATATCAGAGTGTGTCTCATGTAACAAGGGCAAGCATTTTGTGAAACCTTTCAGCTTCCACACATACACACTTAGCAGATAGATAGATAGATAGATAGATAGATACATACATACATACATACATACATAGACAGACAGACAGATATTGTAAAGTAAAATGTGTTTCCTCTGGTGAGTAACAAATACAAAATCAAAAATATACAAATGTGGGTCGGGGAGATAGCTCTAAGAGCCTGCCTGGCAAGCACAAGGACCTGGGTTCAATTTCCAGTACCATATGCTGGCCCTGGACCATACTGAACACTGAAACTGGGTGTGGTGGCACACACCTGTAATCCCAGCACTTGGGAGGCTGAGACAGGAGCATCACTATAAGTCCAAACTAGGTAGCAAGACTCTGTACCAAATAAATAAATAAATCTTTAAAAAAACACAACCTCCAAGACAGAACAGGCCAAGATTTGATCAAGGTTATGGTCCATGGTACCTGACTCCCAGCCTCCACAGTACCTGGATGTCTCATTAAAATCACCCAGATATTAATAAGACTTCTGCGTGTCAAAATAATATCGCCAGTGTCTTATTAAAATATAGTCATGGGGTCAGCAAGATAGCTCAGCAGACCTAAGCACCTGCTTAGGCAAGCTTAGGCAAACACAAGAACAGCAGTTCAAACCCCCACGCCACATGCCATGCCAGCCCCGCCTCCAGGGTGGGCTGAGCTGACCAGTGAAACCTGGGCGTAGTTGTGGAGAATTGGGCATGGTGGTACACACTGGTAGTCCCAGTGCTGAGGAGGCTGAAAGCAGGAGGATCACCACAAGTCCAAGCTGCATAGTCAGACCCAGCAACAACCAAACACATTAAAAACAAAAGTAGTCATCCCAGTATGTTGGGACTTGGCATCTCTGTGCATTAAGAAATCAACAAACCATTACTGGAAATACAAAAAAAAAAAAAAAAAAAACACAACAACCAACCATGCAGCCCTTGGGCCAGGTAAGGCCTGAGAGTCTGTATGCTCCTGGGGCATACACAGGGGCCACCCTTGCTGCTGACCACTACTACACTTCTTCACCACGCTCTCCAGAAAGATAAAAGGAGCTTTAAACTCAACCTGTGTCAAGACTCAAATCTTCTGCTTGAGCTAGATAAATCCTCCACAGTTAACAAAGACACTTAATTAAGACAATTATTATTCTTTTGACAATTCTTTGATTACTGGTGTGTGAGCAATGTTCCCAGTACCTTGCACAATCATACATACTGCTCAGAACTCTGTGAGACATGCTATCATAGACAAGGAAACTGAGGCTTGGACAGCTGGAGTAATTAGGCTTAAGCTGAACAGCCAGTGAGTAGCAGAACCAAAATACGAACCCAGCTCTGCCTGACTGCGGCTCATGGGCTGCAGGAGCTCCTCTCACCCTCCCCCTTGTCAGGCCCTGGGGGGTTCTCCACAATGCTCTAACCATCCCCCAGCCACAGTGTGACCTCCAGAACCACTAGCCTTAACTTCCCCAGAATGCAGAAGAGCCCTGGACACTGAGCATGGTGAGAGTCCTTCTCACTGTGGACTCGGGAGCTTCCTGCCCAGGGGTCCCGGCCACTAGGCTCTGATGGCTACCTCTGCCACTTAGAAGGTGTATGTTCTGAAGCATGCTGCTAACCTCTGTGTACCTTGATTTCCTCATCTGTAAAAGATGGGCAATGGTAGATCGTCCCTACCCCTAGGGGCTGCTATGAGACCCAAAGGAGCTGGCATACACACAGTATGCGGAACAGTGCCTGGCTGTGCTTAGTGTGTGGGACCCCAGCTTCTGAGTGGAGAGAGCACCAAAGCCACCCCCCACCCCCACCCCCGGCAGATGGGTGTCACACAATATTTTGGGAGAAATGTAAGAGAAAATGTTTCTGGTCTCCACACCCAGGCACAGAGAGCCACTGAGATGGGGTACCCACTTTTTTAGGACACATTCTAGTTCATTCTTCTCCTCATGGGCTTCTTGGAGCTGGGAGAAGATCCTAGTCAGGAAATCTTCAAAGCTGGACAGCAGGTGAGGTTCCTCCTTCTTCAGCTGCAGCCAGAGTTGCTTGATGTCACTTTCACTGGGAGAGGAGGGAGGCACATGGAGACAGTAAGGTTCTATGGGAAGAGAAGCAGCCTTCTTGCAAGCACCGTCAGTGCAACAGTGGCCATTATTTATCAAGTGCTGGTGGATGTGAGCAGCCTCACATCAGCTCAGTAGCCCTCAGGCGCTTTGGGGGTCAGTTACCCTGTCACAGATGAGGGTGCAGCAGTACACGGTCATGCTTGGGACTGCTGGAGTCAGGTCACACTCCAGGTGTGCCGACTCCTATGGCAGCCTTCTAACTCACTTCACTCCACAGCTTCTGTTCTCTGTATCACTCCAGGAGGGCTGGGGGTGTGAGCATGCGCAGTGAGGCTCACACAGCCTCACAAAACAAGCACGTCACAACACCAGGAAGAGGAGAGGAGGCTGGGAGCCAGGGTGGGTGAGGACAGCAGCTGCGCAGCTAACAGAGAGAGCTGTCACTCAAAGAAGGATGGTCCTCAGCATTGAGAGGGAGACGTGCCATCAGATGGGTGGCTGGATGCGGCTGCCGCTACAGGGAAGGGAAAGGAGTACGCTGTACCCACTGGGGTCTGGTGGCACAGGGAGTGGCTGGCGGGTGCCAGGAAGGAAAGGGGCAAGTCTGCATGATGTGGGTTCACAGAGGGAAAGACAAGCAGAAGTTGGAGGACTTAGAGGCAGCAGAGATAAGAGACAGAGTGGCAGGTCTGGAAGCATCCCCTAGGAACAGGCACAGGTGGAGCCTGCAGAGCAGCCGAGACTGCCGGGCCTGATCACAGAGGGGTGGGGGAGAGGAGGAGCCGCCCAGGATCTCTCTCCCTGCTCCAGTTTAGAAATCAACACCAGTAATCAGACTAAGTCACACATACATCTGATTTGTCCCCATCAAATTCTCAAACAGATATGATCTAAGACCAGCTCCGACCTGAACCCCTCAGGATAAAGAGTAAAATCCTTCATGTTCATGCAATCAGTGTTGTATTTCAGAAACTCTCCCTGGAAATAATATGTGATAGGCTCACGTTATCAGTGCTCTTACAGATATTGCTGTCTGTATTCAGCAGAAAAGAGGCTCACTGAGAAATGAACCAACTGTGGTGAGTATCCAATCAGCTGGTGTTTTTCCTCTCTCCTCCTTCCCTCTGGCCATTGCTCCTTTGCTTCCTTCCTTCCTTGTTGCTGTCCTACACAAGCATCCACCTACTCATTGAGACCATCCGTGCACGCATCCACCCATCCACCATCCACTCATTCACCCAAAAAGTATGTATATATGTATGTATGTATGTATGTATGTATGTATTTATTTATTTTATTATTTTTTTGGCGGAACCGGGGACTGAACTCAGGCCCTTGCACTTGCCAGGGAAGCACTTATTCCACTGAGCCATCTCCCCGGCCCCC